CAGCCTCTGGTTCCCTGCCCAGATGCATGCCCGGGGAGGTCACAGCAGTCGGGCCTCCCAGCCGTCCCGGGGCACAAGCTGGACCAGTCTGGGCTGCGCCCGGTCCACGTCGGGCTCGTCTGTCCGTGCGGACACACCAACAAGCGTGCCCGGGACGTGGCCTGGGGCTGGTTCTGTGCGGTCTCAGCCTGGCCACGGGGCATGAGCCCCTGTCCGTCTCCTGTAATTACGGCTCCAGGGCATGCCGGGGAGGCCAGGGCTCAGGTCTGGAGCTGGAGTCCAGACGGCCCGTAAATACCTCTGCCCGGGGCTCTCTGTGGCTCCCCAGCGCCTCTGGGATGAGGGTCCACTCCTCGCCCTGGCCTCTCTCCAGTCTCGAAGCCGAGCTCTGTCCAGTCCCCAGGCCCTCCATCCGGAGCCGTATTCCCAGCTGTCTGTCACCTCTGACCCCTGCTGGGGGCATCTCCGCTGCTCTCTCCTCCCTTGTTTGCCCCCTGGCTCACTGCTCTTAGAATCTGTTGTTTCCTGTTTGGGACACGTCTGTTGTTCTTTGACAGTCTCCCCAGCAGGCCTGGAAGTCCCCCGCAGAGTCCAGATGTCCCGGGCACCTCTGCCTCCTGGAGCGGTGTCCACCCCAGATGTCTGCGGGAGGCAGGAAGGGCGTCCGCCCTGATGGGAACACTTGGTTTTCCTTACTAGAGCCGGCCGCCATCTGCCAGTGACCAGGGGTTTGAGCTGAAAGGCAAACAGAAGACCAGCTTGCCCACCGCGCTGCCCACCGCGCTGCCCCATGGAAATTGCTAGACTGGGAAAGTCAGGCTGGAGCCTCGTGTCTCCATTGCTTCTTCTGTCATAGCCTCCTGGACTGCAGCCATGAGCCCGCTTCTGTGGCTCGCAGTGGACCCTGGCTTGGGCCACCAGGTTTCACCCCTGGGGGAACACAGCAAAGGAGGGGAGTGAGGGAGGGCACCACAAAGAAGACTAGGAGTTTGGGGAGAAGCCGCTGAATCTGGGCAGATTTTGGCCTCTCTCTGTTTTCTGGGGAGAAGGCCCTGGCTTTCATCAGATTCCCCACGGGGTTCATGATGTACAAAAGGTCACAAAGGTATGATCCCAGTCGGATCTCCATCAGCTGCTGCTTGCTTGCCTCCAGGGATGGGGAGCTCAGCTCCTGAAAGCTGGCCCTTCCATCCCGCATGCCTCTGTCCCCGAAGCCCCATCCTGCCCCATCAGGAGCTCCCGATGCATGGATTTGCAGATGTCGTCATGACTTCCAGGCGTTTCTTCTTGCTCAGTTTCTCAGCAACAGGAGGGCCTGGCTGCTGTGGGGTTGGCACCCTGGGCCCAGAAGAGCCCCCCACCTACTCCTGAGTGGGCTGAGTAGGGAGGGGGTGTCTGTGAGTCAGGACCCTGCCTGTGGCCATGCCCTGATGACTGGGGTAGGGGGGGCAGGACAGGTGGCTGGAGGAGCAATTTGGGAAGGTGACTGGGCTGGAAGGCAGATCCAGCGCTAGCACCCGTCTCGGGGGCTCAGGGCCCAGACTGAGATGGCCAGAAGGGGCCTGAGGAGACGGAGGGCAGACTAAGGAGGGACACTTGCTCACCAGTGTTCCCTCTGTCCGCGCCCCTGGACGCCCTGGTCTGACCTCAGGGACGGAGGGCTCTGCCCAGACCGGCACGAGGGACACCCCTGGTGTGTGTGTGTGTGGCTTCCCCCCTCCCCCACGAAGTCTGTGGGCCCTCAATCCACCTTCTCAGCCGCAGGGGTCTCTGTGGAGGACCCCTGCAAGAAGATGGGGTCGGAATCAGGTGCTGCGGGCCTGAGGCCCTCAAGTCCCAGAGGCCTAACTGCCGACACCTGTGCTCTCCCCCACCTGTGCCCCATCAAGCACGGACTCCTGAAGCCCGGTTTTCCCGGCGCTTCCTGGACGCCACGGATGGGGCTCACCCTCACGAAGCTGCCAGACCGCGGCGCCTGAGTGTGGGGGGCTCCTCGGGGCACCCGTTCTGGGCCCGGGAGAGTTACCCCCCATCTGTGGGGCTGCGCACGCGCTGCGGCTTCGTGAACCCCCGGAGGGGCCTGGCGAGGGTGAGGCGAGGGCTGTGGTCCATACGACCCCCAGGAGTCCCCTGAACCAGAAGGGGCAGCGTGTCTGCTCCCACAGCTTGGAACAGAGCGGAGGGGAGACCCAGGGAGGTCCCAGCCCGAGGGGGTCCAGGGGGTCCCAGCCAAGGGGGCTGAGAGGTTGCAGAGTTGGGGGCGGGGGGTGGGAAAGCGGCGGTGACCCCAGGCGTTGGAACTGTTGCCAGCACTGGGATTGATCCAAGGGTGAGGTGCCCACAGGTCTCGGGGGTGCCACTCATGGCCCCCGGCCCTGTGGGGTGGCGGAGCCTGTGCCCTCTGCCCTGGAGGGGGTCTGGAGGCCTGGGGCCGTCACCCCACAGAGCCTCATGATTCCCTTCGGGCTGTGTCCGCAGGTTCCCTTGGAGACGTGGAGGCTGCAGAGGAGGCTCAGGCCATGGATGACCCCCGCCTCCCAGAGCCGGAGGCCAGAGCGCCGGAGCCCGAGCCCGAGCCCCCGAGCCCTTCCAGTCCAGGTGAGTCGGGCGGTGGGTGCGCTGGAGGCCGGGGTCCCACACCCCGCGCCGTCCCACCCCTTCCCACGCCTGCCCCTGTGAAGCGCACCTTGAGCCGGCTGGTGTCTGTGGGCCTGCGGCCGGGGGTCTGACCACCGGGGCCTGGAGGGGCGGGCACAGGACACGTGCATCCTCAGCGTTGGGAGGGCCTTGGGAGTCCGGCCCCTCCTGGTTACAGATGGGGAGACGAAGGCCTTGTTGGGGAAGGTCTAGCCCAGGCTTGGACGGGGAGTCCTGGGCTTGAGTGACCTCGAGAAAATCTCCGCTGACCCTCTGTGGAATGGGGGCAGGGAGGCCTCAGCACATAGCAGGTTCTCCTGCTATGGCCCTTTACCCCGTTTTACGGACAAGGGAGTGAGGCCCAGGGAGGTTAAGGGACTTGTCCAGGGTCACACAGCCTGTAAACACCCGAGTAATGATCTGATCCCAGACCCGGATTCAGGGTGATTGCCCTTCTCACAAAGCCTCCTTCCCCCAGGCCCATCCCAGGCACTGGAACCTTTCCTTGGACCCTCTTGGTGGCAGTTTCGGGGGTGGGGGTAGTGTTGGAGAGAGACCCAGGGGTGAATCAACCTGACACGGGGAAGCCTGCTCTCTGGACAGGTCCCCAGCGGGCCTCCAAGTGAGGACAGCCTCTCGAGCTAGCCGTACCCCCAGACACCCCCAGGAGGAGAGGCCTCCCTGAGGTGGAGGCGCGGAGGGAGGTCAGCACCTCACCCTTGTTTTCCTGAGGAGGAAACTTGGCTTGGGGGATTAGTGGGGGATGGGGGGCTGCCTGTCCTGAGCGTTACTTGGCTCTCCCTGCCTTCCCCCTGCTGCCTGAGGCCAAGCTCTTACCGCCAATCAGGGCCGTGAGGCTCTGGGCACATAGGGCCCAAGTGACCCCCAGGCCGTAGTCTGATGGGAAAGATACCGTCCCAGGCTGGACCACTTTGGAAGGCAGTGAGTGGGCAGCATGATGGGGTGAAGGAGAGATTGGGCAGAGCCTGGAAGGGTGCACAGAGAGGGGCGTGCCTGCCAGGGCAGAGGCCGCGAGGGGACTGGCAAGGGGACAGCAGAGGTCCCAGGCCCACCAAGCTCACTGTGGACCTCCTCCCACACCGGCCCCCGGCGTTTCCCAGTCTCAGTGCCTCCGTGCCCCGCCCCCTGGGATGACCACAGGCCTGGAGCCCAGCGAGCCTCGTCCTCGGAGACCTGCTGGCCCCAGTGTCCCTTTCCGCAGTGGCAGGCTCATTGGGAGCAGGGGCCGAGGCTCCCCTCCTGCCAGCTCACCCAGGGACAGTGGCTGGAGCCGCGTCGTGTTCACTACTGTTATCTCCGCCGCCCACCTGCTCTTCCTGGCGGCTAGAGGTGCAGCGTGCGTGCCCCCCGGCCCTTCCCCGGGGCCCTTGCCCCTGCCCTGCCTGAGCCTCAGTTTCCACATCTGTGTCTGGGCGTCCAGGGCTGCAGGAGCACACGAGGGGCCCCCTTATCGCCCCCGCCATCATCACTGCTGTTGGGCTCTGTGTGCCACCGGGGGCGCCCAGAGCTGTCAAAGGGCAAGTGCCTGTTGCTGGTGGACTTTGACCCGGTGGTTTTCCCGGGGAGCCGGCCCCTATCTGATCTGCTCCTCACTGGGGCTGTGCACGGTGGGGGCAGGGCCCGGGAAGGAGCTGGAAAAAACAGCCAGGGTTGCACCTGGCACAGGCCGTGGTGATAACGCAGCGATGGCCGAGATAAGGCAGCGGGAGGGGCGGCCTAGCTCGGCTCCCGCGCAATGGCTGGAGCTCAAATGCCAGCCACGTTGATTTATAGCCAAAAATAATAGGACTTTTATACTGTGTGATTGATTTATTTGATGTTAATCATGGCCCTTATCTTGGGTATTAATAATCTGCAGCGCGCATGACGTCACCAAGGGGGGGCTTTTATGGGAGCTCATCGATTGGGGGCTGCGGGAGTTATCAGGCTCAGCAGGGAAGGCAAATATGCCCTTTGGGCTGGAATTGGGTTCAGGGCCCGGCTCGAGGTGCCCCCAGCTGCTGGCACAGTAGACCGAGGAGCCGGGGCCCACACGTGTGCCCGCTGGCCTGGGTGTGCCTAGTAGGGCGCGCTGCGCTCTAATTATTGACTACAGCTAGAAAAGCAATTATTGCCACAATTAATGAAGGGATGAGAGGTTTTAAAAGCCCAGGAGAAAACTGAGGTGTCTGCCCCCATTAGACCTAGCCTGGGTGTGGGGGTGACCTTGGGCATGTGTCACCCACTTGGGCCTCAGTTTCCCTCCCAGCCACAGGGCAGCAGGGGTGGTGGGTGAAATCACACTCAGGGACGGCGGGACTTGATGGTGCTTTCTGTCTGCAGATGCTAACCCCCCACCCCGACCATCACCACCGCCCCCCACGCCCCCAGGAGGCCCTCAGGAGATGGAGGGGCAGGAGCCAGACACGAGGCTGGAGGAGGAGTCCGGTGTCTCCTGGGGTGGGCCAGGTAAAGCACACCTGCGGTCGGTCGGGGTCTGGTGGCCCAGCCTTCTGAAAATCTGGGGAGACTGCTGTCCTGGCAGCTTGTGGGGGACACGCCCCACCTCCTGTCTGAGGAGGCCAGTGGGTAAGCCTCTGAGCCAGGGTCGGGGCCCATTCCAAAGTCCAGCCCGCCTGTGGGGCCGGGCACCACGCCATGCCTACAAGTCCTGGGGGCTCCCAGGAGGCGTTCCCCTTGGGCTGGGAAAGAAGAGCAGGTGGGGAGGGCAGGGAGAGACGTTGCAGGGGTGCGTCTGGAGGGCCGTCCCCGCTGGGCTGGGGGTCCAGGTCTATGCAGGTGGCTGTAGCCACGTGGGAGACCGGCGTTGGCCCCACCTGCCCGGTGCTGGAGTCCGGGCGTGGCTTTGAGGGAAGTTTCCTGCCCCGCTTTGGCCCGATCACCAGTTTGCAGCCAAAATTCTGACCAGAGGTGTTCTCTGCGCACTTGTACCTTTACGGATAGCGGAGAACCTGGGCACATCAGGTGTGCCTGTTCTTTGTAATTCTGAGGAAGGCGGGGTGGCGTGGGGGTGTTTCTGGGGCTGCCTCTCCAGGCACAGGCATGGCTTGTCCTCAGGGGCTGGGGACCAAGGGCAAGTGAAGGTGCGGGAAGCATTCATTGAGCGCCTGCTGTGTACCAGATGGCCGGGAGCAGGCGGGCCTCGGACTGTGCACGCAGCTGTGGTGCGGGCGAGGCTCGGGGACTGTGGCAGGGGGCACACAGGCAGGGCCTTGCTGCGGGGTCAGGGAGGGCTTGGCCAGGGCCCAGAGGCCACCCATTACTCTCTTGAGGGCCACAGATGGTCACAACCAGGACAGTGACCCCACGCCACAGGGAAAGTGAGTCCGCTCTTAGCCCCTCCCCCCTGGCTGGGCTGTGGTGTTGCCTCGGAGCTGCGCATCCTGGGTAAGACAGTGCTGGGGTCCCCGCTGCCCCCCCCCCCAGCGTGGCAGGCGTGCTGCCCTTCACAGACTGGCCGTCATGTCCCCCAGCTGTGACCCCGCCATCTTGGGGTCCCGTTGATGGCAGGGGGCGCCCAGGTGTCCTGGCAGATAGGTGGTGGCCACGTGTCCTGTCTCCACCAAGGCGCTGCTGGCCCGAGGGTGGGGGGCGTAGGGCCCTGTGTCCTTGAGGCCCTCGGGGCCTGGTCAGGCACCGCTAAGCCACATGCCTACCTGCTGGGTGCTTGGGTCTGCCCTGGGGCCTTTCCGCACACAGGATGGTGCCACGAGCCCTGGGTGGGGACCCTGTAGTCAGATTGCAGTCCTTGCCTCAGTTTCCCCAGCTGTAGACAAGGTAACAACGAGGCCCCCACAGAAGGCAGGTCAGTGCTGCCACGGGCTGTGACCCCTCACGTTCCACTCTTTATCAGGAAACTTCCTGTTTCAGTGCACGGAGCAGGGACAACCCATGTGCCTGAGGGGCCCTGACTGGCCGCTGGGCAAGCCATAGGCTGAGGCCACAGCCGCCGGGAAGAGCGTCCATGGGGAGGAGAGCACCAGGCAGGCCCCACACCAGCCTCTGAGGTGGGCACAGCATGATGGAGGGACTTATCCAAGGTCACCCAGCAGGGAGGCGGCAAAGTGGGGTGCAGACCCGGCTCCAGGGGTGCAGGTCTGGTTCCGGAGCGGGGGCTGTGGTACATCAACGCCAGCTTCCGTCGCTGCCCCAATGGGCCTCACCCACCCTTCGGTGTTAGAATCCTCACCCCCACTTTATAGATGGGCCACGGAGGCCCCGAGAGGCCGAGGACTGACCCCAGGGCAAGGGTTGGCCCTGGGGTGGCTGTGGTTTAGGGCTGGGTGCGCCCTGTGGGGCCAGGGGGCTCCCTGTCCGCCTCCACAGATAGGAATATCTGTACAGTGGGCAGCGATGGGCCGATAAGCCACCAGTGGCCAACCGCCGTGGGGCCTGCCCCCTATCAGACCCCAGGCAGGCCCACATATCGCCCGCCAGGGAAGCCAGAGAGGCCCGCTGAGCCCTTATCTCTGCAGGGCCGCGCGTGCCAGCGACGGGGCAGCAGGGCCTGTCCAGGCTGGCGTCCCTGAGGGCAGTGCCCAGCTCACTGACCTGCCGTGGCAGAGGAGCGTGCTGCCATGGCCTTTGCCCACAAGCCCTGTCCCCCTGTTCCCCTTCTCTGACCTCTGAGCCCCTCTGCCAGTCCTGGGCAAGCCTCTCTCCCTCCCTGTGTCACAGAGTCTGTCTGGCTTCTGGCTGGCAGCTGCTTCAGTGTCCCCAGATGTGCAAAAAAGTGCTGGACCCACCCCCAGCTCGGGGACCGGCCTCTGGAGGCCTGCCTGGGGGACATCAGCTCCTGTTCTCCTCTGGGATGAAGGAGCTAGCTTGGACCCCAGTGCACCATGCGCTGCCTGGCTTTGGGGGAGTCACGGGGCCCCAAGCCTCCATTGCTCACCTGGCGTGCATGAGGCGGGCCCTGGTCATCACACAGAGCCCCGGGCTCAGCACGCACCCAGCACGGCGCCCAGTGCTTGCCCCCACCTCTGCTGTCTGGGTGCCATCCACTGACCAGGGTTCATGGGGCTCTAGGAGACTCCCTTCGCCCCGGGGTACCCACCACCCAGGGAGGCCCAGGGGAGGGTGACCGCAGCCCAGTAGAGACCGGGCATCAGGGCCTCTGTGCCCCAGCCTAGCATGCACGTGCAATGTGGCTGCCCTTCCAGGGGTCAAGGCCCAGAGCAGATGGCCACGAGAACCCCCAGGGCTCCCCCAGGCACCAGGCAGGAGAGTGGCCTCCCAGAAGGGCCTTGACACCCCACCAGCACAGGGGCATCTTCAACACTGGAGTGCGGGGCCGGGATGCGTGAGGGGCCCACAGTCTCCTAGGCCCATTCCTGCCCCTTCCTGATGCCTGCTGACCCCAGAGCTCCAAAAGCAGTCTGGGGGCAAGGGGGGGCTGCTTGGGGGTGTATCTTCGTATGAAAGAGTTGTGAGCTCTGTGGGCGGCTTAGCTCCTGAGCGTCCCTGGTCCCATGGGAGCCGCTCCTTGTAGCCGCCCTGAGGGGCAGGAGCAGGGCCCCCCGGGCACACTTGGCCAGGACTGGGTCCAGCTTTGCTGAGCGACTGTGGGCTGCTTGCCTGACCTCTCGGGACTTCCGTTTCCTCATCTCTGCATTGGGCCTGGGGAGATCCAAGAGTGGTGGCCTCCCGGGGGGCATGTAGAGAGGCATCCCCACAGCTGGCAGAGGGCCAGCCACAGTGTTCTCTGCCCACCTGGGCAGCCTGCACTCCTCTGGAAAGTGGGGTGTTAGTGGGGTCAGTGGGAAGAAGCCACTGTCGGACCAGAAAGGCACTGTGGCCCCAAGGCAGAGAGAGGCTGCCCTCCGTGGTGTGGGCTTGTTCCCCCGATGCTCTCCCCTTCCCTGGGTACGAGACGCCCCCACTGCGCCTTGAGTCGGTGGGGCCAGGTGGGAATGGAGACCCAACTCTGAGCCAGCACTGTCACCTCTGTCCTCTGAGGTGCAGGACAGCAGCCCACCTCGGGCAGGTGACAGCCAGGACAGAGTCCACCCCAGGGGTTCCATGAATACCCTCTTGGCCCTTGTGGGTTGGTGTGCAGGGACGTGTCCTCCATGCGGTGAGCTCGAACCACGCCAGCGAGTCAGCCATGGGGTGCGTGGGGAAGGGAGGAGATCCTGGCGAACAGGGAGGCCCCCCACATGGGCCTCCCAGGGCGAGAAGTTAACAAGTGGAGAGTCTGAAGGCTCAGGAGTGTGATCGAGGCTTGGCCAGGAGGCCCTGGGGCCTGAGCAGGGTGCACGGGAGAGGTGGAGCCTGGTCCCTGGGCTATAGAGGGGAATACAACCCGTGATGGGGAAGGCCCCCCTGTGGGGCTTGGAGAAAGGGGGATGCTGGGCTGGGGGCTTTGAAGAGAAAGATGGGAGCCAGGAAGGGGGGTGCTCAGTATTTTCATCTTCGAAATGACCTTGTCCACTGGAGGGGCTGGCTGCTTAAAATTCTGATACGCAAGTGTCTGAAAGCTGAAATCTGCAGTCCCCAAAGCACGTCTGGAGGGCAGCTGGCAGGAGCTCTCTGCCTGTGAGGGGTCGGCCCCCTACTCCCTGCCCCCCCCAGCCCTCCTGCCATCATCCCATCCCCTGCCCCCTGTCTCCCCATTTAACATCTAGGAAAAGCAGGTCGGGCGCACAGGCCAGCCCTGTTAGGACCGAGAACCTCTAGGGTCCCATCCTGAGTGTGGGTCCTGGGCCTGTCATCCCCCTCCTGGCCCCCATCGGAGCCCCTGTCCCGTGGCAGTTGGCATGCCCCCAGCCTGCCTGGCTGGGTCGTGAGGGAACTAGAGGAAGGGAACAGCTGTGGGGACCCTGGAGGGGCGGTCCAGGAGCATCCTCTGCAACCAGCCTCGTGGTGTGGGGTCCCCTCCCCTCTGGCTTGCCTGGCACAGGGCAGGAGAGAACCTGCTCTCGATCTGCCAGTCTGGGAGCCAAGGTCCAGACACCCCAGCTGAGGCAGTGGGCGCCCGGCTGCTGAGTGCTAGACTGTCCACAGGTGCCACCGGCCAGGTGGGGAGCAGGGAGGTGAACCTGGGAGGCCCACAGTGGCTCCCCACCAGTTCCGGGGACATCAGGTGGCTGTGAAGAAGGAAGGGGTGGTCAGACTCACACGTGGTGGCCAGGCCTGGCTTTGTGATCAGAGCCCCAGGACTGGGGTCCCTTTTACGCACAACTGCCTTAGAACCCGGAACTCTTTCCTGGTGACCACTGCTTACAAAACAAAATCTGGCCGGCATCAGGGGTTACCTTTTTTGACCCCATCTCAGGCCCTGGAGGCAGAGACGGGAAGGCTGGCCATGTCCTCATGGCGCTGTAGGTCAGCAGAAACCCCCCCAGCCAAGGCCTAAAGGACCGACTAGAGTGGGGTGAGGAAGCCCAGACATGGAACAGGCATGTGCAAAGGCCCTGAGGTTTGAGTACCCAGGTGTGACTGGAGCA